AGTAGCATTCACAGTGGGCAGGATAAATATGGGGGTACCTGTGGGTTTGAGGAGTAGGGGATTGTCATTTTCCCTACGGCAGTTACAATGAATTATCGTAAATGGGTATTACATGATGATATTAAAATTCCTGAAGAAATTAAATTTGAAAATTCGGTAAATTTCTACTTCAATCTGTGGACTGCTGAAATGGCATTGGCTTCTTCTGTTGATTTTTCTGCCACCTTCAAGCACGGCATGTTTGCACTGGTTTTCATAGAAGGTTGTCTCTTGCTACCATAAAGTATTATGGGGGTCTGACCAATACATCCTGCAACTTAATTTTGAGATATGTATTTGGAAATAGCAATATGACCAGGTAGCCTTGTTGCAACCATTTTTCTGTTTTAGCAGTCCTTACAAGTTTGATATGAGGCACATTCACTGGGATTAAAGATGAGTTACTCATTGTCAAATTGTCAACAACCATTGACAAAAGCCCTATTCCTGGCTACTGATAGCTACCAGATTTAGTGATAGTGTTAGATTAAGTAAAGTGGGAGGATATTTTTTGTGGACCATAAGTGAAGGCAAACACCATTGATGGAAGTGTAACTGTGCTGTACATTCTACATTAGCTCACGTTTGATTCTGGTGTTCAACTATTGAACCTTCCATTCTAACAGCAACATCATATAAATATTTGATATCATGTTGTGTGGCTAAAGCTTGTGCAATGTCTAAAAGTTAGTACATTTTCTCAGCATGCGAGCCACATTTCGGATCCATAGTTACCATATAAATATTTAACATACAACATTTTAAAGGATTGTTAAATGCAACGTGCAAATTGCACCTTCTGTTGCTGAAATGCTTGTTGTAAAATTATAATATTCTTTGTCACCAGTAAGTTGTACCACCAACTCCTTGTTAATGTTATGAGTGAAGTACACATCTTTGCTTCATTGATTTTATATTATTTGCACAGCTGACTTGACAACTCCATACAGTTTTAATTAAAGAAAATCAAATCTTTATGTTTGGAATGTATTTTGCTTCTCTCTGTAAAATTCATTCATTGGGAATATCTTTTCGACCCTTTGTTATTAATGTACTAGATTGACATGGTATAATAAAAACAAATCCATAGAGACAGTTTAAACGCAAAAGCTCCTTACAAAAAGAACCATATTTTTCTGTTTAAACAGATCTGCCATGTCAACCGTCCAGAACCATTTGAAAACATACTTTTAAAATTATTTGCAGGGGAACTGCAATATGTTGCAGTAAAAAAAACACAAAAAGTCTCTACTCCAACAAACACTTTTAAATTAAATTTACAGTATAAATCTTTAAATTCCCTCATTAATGTGTATTCAATGTAGTTATCATAATAGCTTAAAAGGTGACAAATATTTAAATAAGCTACATTAAGTTGAGTGAATACTTTTCAGGGTCGTTAGGTTTCATCTGCAATTATTAGTATATATATAAATTTGCACCATTCGGTAGAAATATTCTAAATAATCTTTACTACAACCATGGCCAGGTATGCTCAAGACTTCCAGTGGAATTGGATTGAAACAATTGATATTGATGATGAGTGTGGTCAGTCTGAGATTTATCATTTCATGGAAGGAATATGTCATGTGAGTTTTCTGAAAACACATCCCTTTTCACTTGCCAACAAATGCACAGATGCCAGACTTAAATAAAAAGCTAACACTGTTTTCTGGTCAGAAGTTCATCTCACTGTTTCCTTTTAAATCGATGCCCAAGTTGTTAAACTGCATGGGGAATTATTTCCTTTCAAAATAAAAAGGGCAAGGATTATGAATGATGCATGACCAGCAAATAAATATGTGGCTATGTTGCTCGGTTAACATTTCCAGCTAAGAGACTGTTGTAAAAACCAAAAGAACTGCAGATGCTGTAAATCAGGAACAAAAGCAGAAGTTGCTGGAAAAGCTCATCAGGTCTGTTGTGGTGCCCTCGTTTCAGAAGGAAAAAAAATTGTAGCAGCTACAGAATATTATATTCTCATCCAATTAGAGAAAACCTTGTTTTAAAATAATATTTCAATTTTAGTTTGTAAATAATTTATTATTCATTCATCAGATGTATGTCACCAGCCAGGCTAGCATTTATTGAAAAACTGTAATTGCCTATTTGTCCTTGAGAAAGTGGTGGTTAGCTGCTTTCTTGGGTGACTGAAGTCTACATGTTGTCGGTAAACCTGAAGTATCTGAGCAATATCAGTGCATCAATCCTATTGTCACTTGGCTTTAAGTGAGAGATCAAGTGTGTGGGTAATCAAGGGCAGGAAGTAAAGAAGTAAAGAGCAAAGAAAAGACAGAATGATTAAAAAAGTAAAGAGGCAAGCCTAAATGCTTCAAACTTCAATGCATGAAGGATTCGGAATAAGGTAGACAAATTGGATTAGCAGGATTTTGCAAAGACATGGCTGGTGATACTTTTCTTGGGAATTGTGATGAGTGCTATACATTATCCATATCTCTGATATGTACAGATTAGCAGGTAACATGACTGACCTGTGGAACTTAAGCTTATAAGTATTTATTATCAATCACTCTGTTTCTCAAAGAGCCAAAGACTGCACTGGCACTATGAAGGATGGGGGTGGAGGTGGGGTGGGGGTGGTGGTGGGTGGTGGAGGTCAGCTTCTTTGGGCACAGCCCACATTGTTTAACATGTACGTAAAAGTGCTTGCCTGGATGTCCCTTGTTTATGACAGAAGAAGTGGTATCATAACAATATCACATGGTCCTACTGATGAGACTTCCACACATATTTAGACTTGGCCTTTGGGTAAGATCAAGTGTAGTGTCTATTCTTATCAGATACTTAACTTGCAGGGGAGAGACCATAATCATGAAGGTGGTTCTCCCAGGACTAGTCTGATCCAAGAGCCTTAATCATCATCAGAAGATCTTGAGATCATCGCTGGATCATGATTGCGAGTGGAACTTGGAGGATCATCGGTTGAGCTGAGCAGTAATTGGTAGGTCTTTCTGCTGGCTTCAGCGTAACCCCAATTCAGTGAGCGGCCAACCAGAATGGTGGCCTCTGCAAACACTCAAGCTGTAGGCTGGGTGTTTGCAACACAGCCAGGGCGACTGTGAAGAAGGTGGAGGAAGGATTGCTGGTTGACTAAACCTTCTTTGTAACGAAAGTAATCTTGAATTGCGGTGGGTTCCAAGCATCAGATATTTTCTGTCTGCGGGACTTCCCCAGCAGCAGCTACTTTGCTGTGACTTTCAGGACCGTGAAGCAGCGTGAGCACTTCCTGAAGGTATTTGAGGAGAAAAGAGGTTAGGGTCCCCTCTCTGTCCTGTCTGCAGCACCATTGTTCATTCTCCCTGTGCAGAGGAGCTGGGTTGTAACCATCCATATGCACAACCCCCATGTCCCGGTGGCATATATCCTGACCGTTCTGGGAGGTATGTACGTGTTCGAAGTAGGCAGTACTGATGTAGTAGATCCCTTTGAAATTTGGACCAGCAAGCTGCAGGTAAAGGTGACCCTGAAGGTGGACACTGAAGGGAACATCCTCCACCCGGCTTCCAGCTTCGTGATTGGAGGGAGCCGAGGCTACCTGATGTCCATGGGACAGCCTACAGTCTGCTGAACCTGCGGGAGGTCATGGCACATAGCGGAGGACTGCACAGTGACCCTCTGCAGGACCCAAGAAGACAGAGTCAATAGAGGAGGAGGAAACAAATGAGCCGGGGGAGTGGATATCGGTGAGAAACAATGGGAAAAGGAATTTGCGTCAGGCCCCCACAGTCCCACAGGCAAACAGAAAGAGGCAGCTGCATGATGGACACACCAGCAGCTCCTCTGATGATAAAGAGGTGCGGAGGAATGGCCATCAACGAAGAAAGAGGCACAGCACCACAGGGAGATGGAGACGAGCACCCTCCAACCTGGAAACGCCGGATGTCCCAAAGGGCCTGGTGAAACCCAACTTCCAGCCATTGGGAAACAAAGGGTATCCATTCCACTACAGCTCTGGGTAACCAGGAGCAGCAACACACCAGATCAGGAGCAGAACACCTCAGTTCCTCTGTCAAACTCCAAACCAGACCTTCCTGGTCCTTCCTCACCCTGGTAACACCGATTGGGGCAACACCCCCAGCGAGGAAAAGGACAGCTACCTCACTGCTGATTATGTCCAATTGATCGCCCACACCGCAGCGATACAGGGACTCCCCCAGTGACAACACCGTGGGTGAACGTACATTGGGTCCAGGGGTAATTCTGTAAACTCTCAATGGGTTTTAAAATTGCTAATATTAACATGCATAGCGTTAAATCTACGACACAATGTGTTTCCATGCTGGCTTACCTGGCCAATATCAAAGACGATCTCCTGTTCCTCTGGGAGTGCGGGATACCTCGCCTCCGCAACCACAGGAAATGGTCATGTTTGTGGACTCATGGGCCTTCACTTTCGTCAGGGGAAAACGATTGCCATTCCTCCTGCCTGGATATTCTGCCATGAGGATGCAACTTCATCATCTCCCAAATTAAAAGGGTGGTGGGAGGACACCTCCTCGTAGCAGACGTTAGGTACAGAAATGCTTTCCTGAGACTAATTAACGTGTATGCCCTGAAGATAAAGAGTGAGTGTTTGACCATCCTTCAGCAACTCCCACTGCTGCTGGCAATATCCAAACCGGTCGTTCGGGCCAGAGGCTTCAACTGCATCATTGATGCGGATGGATGATCTGGAGGTACTGACAGCAAACTGAACGCTCGATGAAAATGGTTAAAGTTTCCAGGCTGTGCAGCATCTTCAGGCCTATTGTGAATACAGTGCAGCACTGGTATACCCAGTCGCGGCCACACTGGTTTGTCTGCTCAGGGATAAATTTCCTGTTTGTGTCCCAAATATTCTCGGTCAGATCCACCAATGTCAGGCTCGTGTTCTTCTCTGATCACTGCCTTCCGCTGGCCGACTGTCACTTTCAGGATGACCAGCAGACCAGCAAGGGAACATGGAAGCTGAACGTGAAACTGTTGACGCCAGAACACATCAAAGAATTCAAAACGGACTGCACCGGTTGGAGAACTGTGAAACTCCTCTTTCGGTCTCCAGCAGACAGGGGGGAAATAGTCAAGGGGAAAATCAAGTGGCAAGAGAGAGACAGGGAAACCTGTCCAAACTCCAGAAAGGCATGCAGAACCTGCAGACTATGTGGGTTGATGTCATGGAGGATCTCCAGGAGGTAAAGAGCCAGCAAGCCTTGCTCTTTGCCTCAAAAGTCTCCAAGATAATCTTCTGGTCCCAGGACTGCGCCATGCAGCAGGATGAGATGTGCTCACATTTCTTCTTCCTGAAGGTACACAGGGAGAGTTCTGTGATCAGCAGTCTGAAAGAAGAAGATAGCTCGGTAACGTCATCTTAATTTGGATCAGCAAATCCTTTAAAGCCAGAGCATATGACACAAAGTCCACAGGCAGCGTGGCCTACTAGTCATTCCTGTCATCTATCACGGAGGTCTTAGATAACAGCATGGGGGAAAGGCTGGACCAGCCATTATCTGACCAAGGCCCTCAAGTCCTTAGAAAAAAATAAAACTCCTGGAAGCGACGGCTTACCAGCTGACTTGTATTCAGAACTATGAGAGCTGATTGGCCAGGATCTGCGGGGAGATGTATGCTCTGGCAGGTAGCGCATGTGAATCCATGAGGAAAGGTGTCATCACCCTCATCTACAAGTGGGAGAGGGAGGAAATTAGAAATTGGCGACCACTTTCACTTTTGAATACAGATTACAAAATCCTGTATAAGGTCAACGCCAACCTGGTCAGGTCTGCTCTGGGATCAGTGATTCACCCCGACCGCACCTGTGCTGTATCAGGAAGGACGACCTCTGAGAACCTTACGTTCCTAAGGGATATAATTGCCTACATGCAGGACAAGGGTTGGACCCCTGCCTCATCAGCCTGGACTAGGAGAAAGCCATTTTCAGGGTACCACACACCTACATGTGGGATGTGATCTCCAAACTGTGCTGTGGGGAGGGAATCCACAAATGGATCCGACTACTCTACATCAACACCATCAGGGCAATCTCAATCAAAGAGTGGGAATCAGAAGCTTCCTGATCAGATCTGGAGTCGGGCAGGGCTGCCCACTCTCTCCTGCCTTGGCTGTTGTATAGAGCCATTTGCTGAGTCCATCAGTAAGGATGTCAGCCTGAGAAGGATGACTTTTCCAGGCAGCAGAGGCCTGCAGATCAAAGCCTCCCTGTACATGGGATGACACCGCTGTTTTCTGCTTGGTTTCGCCGTCAACGTGCAGACTCACGAGCAGCTACGACCAGTTTGAACTGGCCTCGGGAGCCAAGCTAAATCAACGCAAGAAAAAGGCCATTTTCTTTGGGAGCTGGGCTAATCGATACTTTATCCCCTTCACCGTCAGGACAGATTACCTGAAGGTGCTGGAATATGGCCAGCGCGTGTGCAAAAACTTGGGACGTGCATATCGCCAAGGTGAGGCAGAAACTGGGCTTTCTAGAGGGGGCAGGGTGTAGAGACTGTCACAAATCTCCTGCTGCAATGTGTCTTTGCAAAGGAAGTCTGAAGAAAGATGCAGTGAGTTTTGTTGAGATTTATCCTGAGCAGCTCTGTGACGCAGTTCTCTGTTCCCCGTGACCCATACCAAGACAAATTTCAACTGCACCTGGAAGACCATCAACTTGGTGAAAGACACTCTTTGGTCTGCCCGAAACTTGCTAGTCTTCCAGAGCAAAGAGTTGACCCCGACCAAGGATGGCAGACAGGCAGATTCCAAGGTCCAGGAATATCTGCTGAGGGACACACTAAAGCTTGGGGCAGCTGCTGCTGAGGCATTGTGGGGAAAGACCACTGTCCAAGGTCTTTCTGCCAAAGTACAATGAAGTCCATTCAGTTATCGAACCTTGCCAGTACCTCCGTTATATGTAAATAGTATCTTGCATAAGTAAGAAATGTCTTGGGTGTGTTTGTTCTCCATATGCAAAGATTGTACAGAACCAAACTGCTTCAGTGACTATGCATGTATTTAAAGATTTTTTTTATGAATAAAGCATATTTTTGAAATTGAAAAAAATCCACACACATTTAGACCATGGACCACTTCATTAGAGCGGTAGCTCTTTCCTCCTTCTGAGGTTGCTGGTGTTGTACAAGGTAATTGTTCTGATTGAGTTGACATTGAAATTGCATTAGCTCCACTCAATCTTTTGAATGATTTTGAATAATTTTATTGTTATGAGTATTTTGCAGTGCGTAATACAATAAAACACAGTGAAAAGCTTCAATTTGTCGCCGTAATACAGAGCCATTCTGATAGTTTTAAGAATAAGCGAAAAATGATACTATTATGCAAAAAGTATATGTTATTATATATGGCAAGTGCCTTTTCTTGTCAAGACTCTTTAGTGATCTATTTTCTGCCACTGATCATTAGAGAAACCTGTAGTCTCAGCATACATGGGACGATCAATGGCAGCTCACTACTCCAGCCAATAGCTGCCAATAGTTGGTACCCAGAACCCAATAGGACAAATGGTGGTTCCTGTGTTCTGAAAGCAGGAACTCAGAGGGGCAGGTTGGGGTGAGGCATGGCATGTATCATAGAATCCCTACAGGTGTGGAAACGGACCCTTTGGCCCAATGTGTCCACACCGACCCTAACCCACCCAGGCCCCATAACCCACCTAATCTACACACCCCTGAACACGATGGGCACTTTAGCAAGGCTAACCCACCTAGCTTGGACATCTTTGGACTGTGGGAGGAAACCCTCACAGACAGAGGGAGAATGTCCAAACTCCACCCAGACAGTCACCTGAGGGTGGAATGGAACCCGGCTCCCTGGCACTGTGAGGCAGCAGTGTTAACCACTGAGCCACCATGCCGCCAGTGCAAGAGGAGTAAGCAGCTTGCTTATTATGCCAGTTTGTAGAAAGAGGGTGAACTGGTAGTTGAGAAAGAGCGTGAAGTAGTTACATACCATCATTTTCAACATTCTCAGAGATGTAAGATGGCATGGATTCAATTGCAGTTAATTTCAAGCCACAAAGAACCAGGTCCTTCAGAGGGATCAGGAGGTGCTAGCTTCCCTGTCTCCTTCTGTTTCTGCAAGGCTCACTTATATTGTGTTCAACTTTGCCTTGCATGAGAGGTGCAAGCATGTCATTGATTTTGTAGTCGTGTGTTTAGGTAATGTATCTGCCAAAGTTGATTAACAGAAGGTATTTACACTCCATGAGAGGTGAGTGAGGTGGAATATCTAAATCCCGCAGCTTGAGGGCATGGGCGTGCTGGTGGCTGAACGATTGGAAGTGGTGCTTTGAAGAGTTGGAGAAACCAGGGGGATGACGGTTAGGAGACGTCTCGTGAAAATACATTCACTGACATTGACCACCCATGAGGTTATTGGTCTCTTGTGGCAGTGCTGCCCACTCCTCAAGGCCAGACTCTGGGAATTAATCTCCCTAGTGTCTCAGAGAGTGGTCCATGGTCTCTCAGGGAATAATGTCAACTCTCCTCCTGTACATCTTCATGCCTCTAACGGCACGTACATGACTCTGGAAAACTACATCTGCCGTAGAGTAGCGATTTCCTTGTTTCAATTGAAGCATAATGTCCAGCAGCCTCCAATAATAGTGTCTATTCCCTTTATGAGGAACAGACCACCTTTAGGAACAGAAGACAGTCTGTACAACAGAATACTGTTGTACTCAGCCTTTTGCTGAGCACAGAAGTAGTTGATATCGAGGGAGGCATTTAGCCTATATCGCAAACAAGTAAACAAGTTTGCAGTAGTGCGCTGTGCACCTCCCCCTCAAAAGGGCAGGCAGATTACCTGGTGACTAGATTGGTCTCTTTTAACGACGTAACTGCTTGCAAATATGAAGGTCATGTGACTACTGACAAGGGGGCCTGCATAGTGAGCACAATTTCAGAATTGATCCATGAGTGCAAAGTGCATAAATGTAAACTGATGTGCTTGCCGTTTGATCTTTTTTCAAAAAAAGAACTCTGTTCCTTAACTTCTCTTCATAATCTAAATTATTGTTCCCTGGAAAAATCTCTATTATTAACTCAGCACCATCAAGGGCTGTAGTGCCTTTCTAATGATTAGAAAACAGAACAATGTACACTATTCTAACAATCAAATGTATTTGTCAGTTCATTGTTTTAAACTTAATAGAATTGCTGCTGTGTTAATAACATTTGATAAATAAACGGAGACATTTCTAGAACCTGAATGCAATGAAACCAAAATACTTAATTCTGCACGAACCAATTTAGCACTAGGTTGGAATCCAATATTATTATACAAGAAAATAGAACTGTTTTATGTAGTGTGTCTCATGCTGTCCTGTTTCAATTTACTGTAACTGACTTTTACATTTTGTTCAAAAATGAGGAAGTCCAACATACAAATTGTTTTCGTTGTTACTTTTCCTGTTTGACCTGTCTATCATGTCAATCTTTTTCTCCACTCTTTTCCTGGTAATGTTGAGAAATGTGTGAGGGTGCAATGGTGATTCAGTGCCTCACTTTAAGATTTTAAGAAGCAGCTTAAAAAGAATTGTACAGCGCACTTCTTCATTTTTAAGCAAAACGTAAAAATACGTCAGAGTAAATTGAAACAGGATATGCAGGAGGAGGACCATCTAAAACAGTTTAAGTGTGCTTGTCTAGGAGTGCCCCAAGCATGATATTGTATTCCATCCCTGTACTAATAATCACCATGATTCCAAGCAATAAACAGGTCAAGGATGCACTGCATTATAAAACGTACAACATTATCTAATATTATGAAAATATTAAACTGGAATTTTGAAACTTAGTGGAGGTGAGAACAAAACTAAAAGAGTAGTGGTAGCTCAACAATGGCTTACAAAACAAATTAGGTACGCTACAAAATTCAAAGAGGAGACATATAAAATTGCCCAGAAAAACAGCCAGCCTGAGGACTGGGAGCAGCTCAGAATTCAGCAAGAAGAGGACAAAAAAGATTGACCGAGAGGGGGAAATGGACTGTGAAAGCAAACTTGCAGGGAACAGAAAAAGCTATCTTCAATATATATCTTCAATATATATGTGAGGAGAAAAAAGATGAATGAAGACAAATATAGGTCCCTAACTACCAAAAATGTGGGAAAACTACAACGGGGCCAAACAGATGGCAGAAGAACTGAACACATTTTATTTCAGTCTTTACAAAAGAAGATACACGTGATTCCCCGGAAGTCTTAGGGATCCAAGACCATGAGAACATAAAAACTAGGAACAGAACTAGGCCATTATAAGGGAGGTGATGGCCTAGTGGTATAATCGCTGGACCGTTAATCCAGAGACCCAGACAATGTTCTGGGAATCGGGGTTCAAAT